GATAAGATTTAATACAGACATGACACAGCTTTTAATGATGATTCTGATAAATAAAAAATTTGAATTCTGTTTAGGAAGTAACAAGATAGATACATTTAGGGTTGTTTTGAATGTAAAATTTATGGTCAAGCTCTCTAAAGCAAAAGTTTCACATCTTTCTTCATTGCAGGAGAGCAGTGCACTGACATAGAAAAGTCAAAACAATTTATTATATGTCTCTGTTCCTCACCTCAGCCTAAGAAGTTGATTAGCACATTTGGTATCTGAGTGATAACTTAACTGGGGTAGCAGTTATGCCTCAAAATGTAACAAGACCAACATTAGAAGAACAGCAACAGAAAGGGCAAGAAATGGTGCATCAGTGAACCAGACCATTTGTCCAAATGTCCAAGGACAGCTCTTGGTATTTTTGTTAATCACAAGTCCAGATTGATCTTTACCTAACAACAGCTGGCATCCAGTATTGTTTATCTTTCTATTTTCCTGTTTGCAAAGGACAGATTACTTCTTGCATACACTGATATTTGTGTCAGCTGAAATCTTTTGCTAAACACAGATCAGCATATATATATTTATTGTAGGTCACTAAGAGTTTTTAGACCTTACGATACAGAACACCTGGATGTCCACGCCAATCACAATACTGACCACAAGGGACATTTTGCTACCCAACGGGATTTATGGGATGACTAGCTCACTGCCACTAACTAAAAGAAATAAAAACACATTGTTTACATTTAATTCAGATATTGAGCCTACCGCAAAACCACAGAAACCAAACTTAAGTTTCAGAAGAGCAGCTTTAATACCTAAAAACATTTTAAGAGCGTGCTCTGCGCAACATAGCAAAAGCCCCAAATGTTTACTTACTGCGTTTTTATTCAAAATAAGGGCAAGCAAGCAAACCAACCAATATTTATTACAAACAACTTCTGGAATTTTTAAAATGAAGGTTTTTTTTTTTTTTTAAACATATTGATAAGATCTGCTGTAAAAACATAGTTTCCTTTTAAAAACAAATCTATTTAAAATTCTGAAGTTACAATCTTGTATTAAAAACCTCAGCTTACAACAGTCTATTTTTAAAGTAAATAAAGTGGCCTTCAGATGTCCCAGTCACGTTGCCAATTATGTAATTCAATGCAGGAGAAAGAGTTGATGCAAAAAAACAAAAACAAAAACCCAGACTACCTAATTATGCTTATTCATGTCCTCATAGTGGCAGAGGCTTAGAGAAGTCAGATTTACTAACTGCAAAATCCTGAACGCACCCAATTCCATTTGAGCAATGTCCATCAATGAATGCTTTCCACACAAACATTGCTTTGACCTATTTCTTTCCCCAGTTCTTCTATATTAGGGGTAGTTTTATCAATCAGGTAACATTGCACATTCTAACTAGAAAATCAAATCCATTAAAATGCAACTTACATAGAAAAGAAAATAGAAATCTGCAACATTCACCAACTATTAGAACATAATGGATAACTGAAATAAATATTTGATAAACCATAAGGTGTTAGACAAAGAAATAACTTGAAGCCTGTGACATTGCTCATAAACTTAAAAAAAAAAAAATAAAAAAATAAAAATTACAAGGGTGACCAGCAGAAAGAAGGTAATAAGATGTTCCCAAGAGTTAGTACTCAGCAGCAGTCCAAGACTGGAAACCAGAAAAATCACAGTGGTGGTGTTTAACTGAAATTTTTTGAAGGCAAAGTCAGGTCAGCCACGGTATGGCTTGGTTAAACCTGTTGCAAAAACCTTAAAAAGGAAGAGTCAAACTGTCTCTGCGTGACCTGATTCAATCCTTAACTGCCCTTCTGCACGATTCCAGTGAGTTCTGACCACTGAGCATCAGTCACATTAAACAAACAACTTTAAAATTCAGATTACCTTCATTTGCAACCAGTTGTTTTAACAGTTGTGACACTGTAATGTGATGGAAAGCACAGCAGTGACAGCAGAGTAGCAAAGTCCTAGGTCGCAGCAAGTGAGGACCTGCTCAAATGCAATAGCTCTGGACACAGAAATAAAGGAAAGAATCTGCTTACCTTTGGAAGGCCTTAGGTGTACAGGGATCTCCAGCAAGATACCCTCACCTCCACTGCCAACACTTAAACAAGATCTGCCAGGGGCTGGAGCCAGGATCAGCTTGTACCTGAGCTCCCCTGGGTTGGCCCTGCCTTCCCACCAGTACTCGGTCATTGGTTCAAGCTGTGACTTGGCATTTCCACTAAAAACACTTTTCACAAGTTTTAAAATTCTTCTGTTTGGCATTAAAAAAAAAAAAAAGATGCAACAAACCTAAATAGAATTTCATTTGTCATTTAAATAGCAGAAGTCACCTCCTCAGATCAATTGAGATTGTAATGTATTATGCTACAATCAGAGGATCTCCTTTTTGTCAACCATACAGAAAAAAAGAAAAAAGAAAAACCTCTCTTGACTGGAAACTTGACACATTCCCTCTTCACATACTGATTTTCCAGCAGTACAAATCACATTTCTTTCTTCAGATAGATTGTTGGCTAGGTGATGGAACAGAATAGCAGACATGAAATTACTGTCTGCTAAGTTCTCCCCTGATGTTAAAACCTGGCAGCACACGTGGGCTGCAGAAGTCTCCATAACACTTAGTGCAGGACTCCAGAGACGATCCTGTGTTCTAAGACAGTCAGTGGTGACCTCTGTTACTGAAAGGTTTTAATGCTGCTCTTCACAGTTACAGCACTAAAAGTACTGTTGGGTGGTAGAATAAAATGTGAGTAGAAACATGGTGAGTAGAAACTTACAGAATGAAAATACTCAATTTTACATCACAATCTATACGTACACTTAAGAGAAAAAGCACAGAAGGCAAATGTGGAGACAACAACCAGCAGACCATCCTTCAGGCACACACTTATGCACTGCCTGCAACAGCATTCTGAAATTCTGCAGCTGAAAATGTGAATCAATATGATTCATCTTTTATATTTTTTCATTACAAGTTAATTCTATACAAAGTCATTATTGCCATGTCCCGGAAGAAATTTAATATCACATTACAGCAGTCACACGGACGCAGCAGAACTGCTTATCAGGGCAGGGAAGAAGCTCGCATGGAGCCCATGTTAGCTGTGCACGCAGCATAAAAAAAAACAGCAAAGCACGATAGTTGTGGTCCTGGCAGATCACTAAGCGTAACAGCTGCAAACTGCTTCTTGCTATTGCATTTGGTGCTCACAAACTCTCTCAGAAGGGCATCTTTTTGGCACAGAGTAGCAAATGCCCTCTAACAGAAACCACTGCTGCCCCTGAGCCAGAGGTAGGCACTTGTCCCAGCTGTCCCTGGGCTCTCTCTGTGCCTGCCCAGCTCAGTCCGGCCCTCAGCCCTGGGCTGCAGCTCCCAGGCTAGGCTCTCCCTGAACTATTAAAGAGCATCCAAAGGAGGGCTACAAATGTGAGGAAGGGTGCAGAGGGCAAGATGTACGTGGAACAGCTGAGGTCCCTGGGTTTGTTCAGCCCAGAGCAGAGGAGCTGAGGGGAGGCCTCACAGTTACTGAGCTGCTCATGAGGGAGCAGAGGGGCAGTTCTGAGCTCTGCTGTCTGTAACAGCAACAAGGCCCGAGGGAATGGCATGGAGCTGCGTCAGGGGAGGGGCAGGTGGGGGTTAGGAAAGGGTTCTTCATCAAAGGGTGATGGGCATGGAATAGGCTGCCCAGGGCAGTGGGCATGGCCCCAGTGCTGGAGTTCAAGGAGTGTTTGGACAGTGCTCTCTGCCATAAGGTTTGAATTTGTATGGTCCTGTGTGGAGCCAGGAGCAGGACTGAATGGCAGCTGTAGGCTCCTTCCAACTCAGGATATTCTGTAGTTCTACACATTCTCTGGATTTATTGTATCTAAGGACAGGTCTATATACAAAACTGAGATCTTCTAAGGAAAGTAAAATCACATGCTGCAACATAGCACTAAGAAATAGCAAATACCCAAGGTAAACCTGTATCCTATGATTTCCAAGCTGCAAAATTTGTCAGCACAAAAACACTCACCAGTCCACCTGTTGCTGTGTGACAGCCAACTTTGAACTGTAAGCCAAAATGTCCACACAGTTTAGACCCCTCAGGAACATATCTCATTGTGGGGGGAATCTGAGCTCGGTATGGCTTACAGAAGAGGAGAGAACCTAACAGTTCCCTAAGTTCCCAACTTCTGCACTGATAACCCCAGCCAGAAACACTGCAACTCAGATCAGGGGTTGCATATTATCACTCAGCCTCAAGCCATCCTTGTTGCTCAAAATACCAGCAAGTACTCAGGGCAGCAAACAGCAGGAGGAAGCCTCAATAGCAGGGGAACTAAGGGAGGAAAATGGGAACTTGAGGAGTTAGCAGTAAGGGCTTACAAGCTCCAGCCCTTTAGGCTTCCTCTCTTGCACAGCAAATAACGCTTATTCCTTAAGGGTCACAGAGCTTGCTGTGGTTATGCCAGTTCAAAGCTTTCTGTTTCCAGCTCAGCAGTTCTTGCAGGCCTGGAGATGATTCACAGCAAAGGTAGCTCACGTGTCTCTGCGGTTCCACAGAGTGCTAAAGTGAACACAGCCATACCAGGGGGCAACACAGCAGAGACCCAAACACAGCTAGGCCTGTGCCTGCAGCACTCAGCTACCCTACACTGAGAGCATCGCTCAGTGACACCCAGAGCAGACAGACAGACAAGCAGCCAAGCTGCATGGCACTGTACACAGCCCTACTCCCTCACGCAGCACCCAGCACAGCCAAGCCGGGAACTCCTCCAGCCCGGTCTCAGCCTGCAGCATTCAGTCAGCCAGCAGAGCAGCGCAGCACGCCGCATTCAGCCCCAGCCCTCCACAAGGTGCCCGGGGCCGCCGGTGCCCTCCAGCCTCAAATACGAGCACGGGGCACGAAAAGAAGGCTGTGCTGGGCTGGGCTCTTGTCCTGTCCCCACCCCGAGGCTCCCCGTTATTCCCCCTTCCCGACTTCCGCGAGGAGCAGCACCTGTAGTTGTAGCCGCTGAAGCGCTGGCTCTCTCGTAGCAGAGCGCGGTACAGCCGCAGCACCTGGGCCCGGCTGGACGCTGCCATGTTGCCGGCGCAAAGCGGCTCCTCCCCCCCGGGCGCTTTTCCCCGCCCGCGGCGCCCGGGGCCGCCTTTCGAACCCGGCTCTCTCTGCGCGGCACGCGGCTACGCGACGCGGGAGAAGGAGGGGGATTGAAGCTGGGCCCGCCCCGTGCTGCTGGGCGGGGGAGATGCCGACGGCCTAGGCCCGGCCGAGGCGACCTGGAGCTGGGCAGCGGGCTGTTTTTGTACGGGTGTCTGTGTGTCGGTGAGCGCAGCGTGGAGCTCGGTTGTACGTGCGTCTGTTGTGTGTGCGCGTTTGCGGCCTTCTTAAAGGTGCGTGGAGGAAGCGGGCGCTGACTGTAATTAACGGGAGGAGGAGGGGGGTGGGAAACGGTGTGCGAAGTTGGGCAGTATGAGGTTGGGACTGGGGTCTTTCCAGGCCTGGAAGTTAAGCAGCCAGTGAATAACGTGATTGCTAAGCAGCTTGGCGTGCCCGAGCCTGCTGCAGTGTGGGCTTTGCCTGCTGCTGCCCTAATGGGAGGCCGAGGGCACGGGCTGAGGCTCCCTCTGAACACCTGGCAGCACTTATGTGCCGTGTGGAGACGAGCACTGGCACAGGCTGCACAGAGGCGGTGGGATCTCCTCCTTGGACAGGATAGGAGCCTGAGTACTCTGCTCTGGGCTCCCTGCTGCAGCTGGGGTTGGGTCAGATGGACCACAGGGTCCTGCCAGCCTCAGCCCTTCTGTGATTCTGTGCTGTGTGAACCATTCCTCCTTCAACACCCCATCTGGAGTTGAATTCTGTTATTAAAACCGTACGTGTTCCGCAAGCTCCTGACTGTAGCTCAAATGCTTTTTTTGAATTAAGCAGTGAGAACTTCTGAGGGAGATTAACAAGTTCTTCTTGCCTCAGCTCTTCTATTTGCAAGAGGAAACCCCTGGTAGCATGTTTCCTACTTTCCCTACAGCTATGAGAAATGACCACAGCGGTGCTATTGGTGAATTTAATGCACAGGCCTACATGTGTTAGAACAGGCCTTGGTGAGGGCAGTACTCAGACAGCAGTCTGTATACACAGTGCCTTGGTATCGCACAGTCCAGAGAACAACAGGTACCTGAACAGTTTTAAAGAAGCTCTGCTTGTTTATTTGTATTTTATTCTCTGCAGTGAGGCTGAGACTCAGATTCTGCTTAATCACCTCTTATATTGTTTATGTCTGAGGCATTCCAGTACTTTTCCTGCTGGAAGCACATAGCATCCTCTCCTACTGAAAGTTTTGCCCCTACAGAATAAATTTGGCCTTGTAGCTTAAACATATGTTGCCCCACCTATGATGATAATATTATTGTAATATGAATTCTTTATATTCTTACCTGCATCACAGCACATTTTGTAAATAGGATATGTTTATATGTATTCTAAATGTGTCTCTGACAAAAGCGTTTCAATTGTTGCTAATTATAAACTCAGGACAAGGGGAAATGGTTTTAAGTTGAGGGAGGGAAGATTTAGGTGCGTTTAGGTTGGATGTCAGGGGGAAGTTCTTTACAGAGAGAGTGGTGAGGTGCTGGAACAGCTGCCCAGAGAGGTTGTGGATGCACCATCCCTAGAGGTGTTCAAGGTCAGACTGGATGGGGCCCTGGGCAGCCTGGTCTGAGATTAAATGGGGAGATTGGTGGCCCTGCATATGGTAGGGTGGTTGGAGATTCATGATCCTTGTGGTCCCTTCCAACCCTGGCCATTCTGTGATTCTGTGGAACTCATTATATATGTATGCTTGAGTATTGTTTTTCGTGCTAGTTGTACATCTGATGCAATTACTGCATAAAACTAAAGTAGTTCCTAGTATAAATAATATCAGTGACACGTCTTAAATTTTTATGTGCATGCTCATATGGTCTTTGTATTAGAACAGCTCTTTTAGGCTTCTGCAAACTGACATTTTCCATACATGCCAGATTTCTTGGGTATTCTTTTTATCAAAATCCAAACTAGAAATGTTAGAGGAAATGCCTTTTTAAAAATTATTTTATTATTTCTTAATTTTTAGAAAAATACAAGCAATGGAGACATCGCAATGAGCATCATGTTGTCAAGGCCTTCCTTTTAAAATCACAAAATAATGTGTTTTCTTCTAGCTTTTGGCCTTCAGGAAACACAAACAGAAAACTTTGTTGAACACATGGTTCAGAAACCTCTGTGTTTAAAGAATCTGAAGAACTGCCTGGAGGACTGAATCCTTTTAGCTCAAGCTATATTGCTAGCCCAGGCTGCCATGCCAAGAGTGGAGTCTACATGAATTGCCAGTATTCCCCTATCCTGGTAGTTTTCAGCAGTGCTTAATATGTGTTAAAGCAGAACAGCTTTAATCCAGAGATTTATTGTCTTCCCTGAACACAGCAGCAACAACCCCATCCTTTGTTTGGGTCATGGGCTTCAGACAGCTTAAAAGATGTCATGTACAGAACAAAACCTAGCTTTGAGAGTTCAGCAACATTTAGTGGAGTTATTCTGTAGGTGAGCATGACAATGGCTCTATCAAATTTTAGAATAAGCTTTATTATTTTCAATGAGTAGAACGTTGTTATTACAGTCGTCAACTATAGAAGATGTGAGAATAATTAGGAAAAAAAGCAAGAGGCATTAGGTAAATCTTGGTTACAAGAGCACTTGGTTTAATATTTGTAAGGTAATTAGAGGTGGTTTAGAAATGGCTTTGGGTGTTAATCCTGTTTCTGAATCTCCTTGACAATGATTGAGGTTGTTTATTTATTTACTCATTTATTTAATAACTGTGTTTCTTTTAAAGAAGTATCAGAACTTACTATGTTTAAAATGAGCAATAAGCATGTGTACTATCAAATGCAAAGGAAGCACACCAAAGCAAAAGAAGTCTTCTCGTCTCCCCTTCCTGTCTTAACCTTTATTTGACTTCGGAAGGGAAGAACAATTTTTAAGCAGAAAAACTGGAAAAAATATTATTTTCTTAAATATTTTACTAATGCTTTTTCTTAGAAGCTTTTCTGATTATGGCCATGGATTATGGTCTCTGCTGATCTGCAGTCAGAGAGAATTACTTCTGCTGTGACTAAAGTTTGTAATTTTGAGTAGGGTGGGTTGGATGTTTCTGCTGGCCTTCTGTTCAGATGCATCACTGCAGGCCTACAGCGTATTTCAAGGACAGACACAGCCCAAATGATTGGTATGACCTCTGTTATGTCCTATGTGACCCCAAAGCCTGTATTTTGGGAAGCAGAGATGACTTCTTTAACCTGTTTCTTCACTCCCTAAGTTTAGTCTAGATGCCAAACCAGGACCAGTCAAGACACAAGATCCAAACAATCTGGATGGGTGGATATTTTTCTTCCTTTCTTTTTTTAAGTTATTTTTAAAAAATTATTTTACTTTTCAGAACAACTCTGGTTTAAAACTCAGTGCTATTTTATTACTTTTTATGATGGTGGGAGTAGAGAGATGTTGCTCTTAATTGCAGAGGCACATGTATTTAAAGGGGGTTGACCAGTGTACATTTGTACAAAAATTTTTGCCTCTGGCATTTGGTCTGTCAGAGGAAAATGCCTTTCCTTTTTTCCATTTTGTGATAAATGAGCAATTTGAGAATAACACAGTAATATGGGTATCTGGAATAGTTACTAGTATTTGGAATATGTAGCTGCTCAAAAGGAGGGGGGAAAAAAAAAGAAAAAGGAATTTGGATGACGTACCTGAAAAGATGTTGGACTGCTGTGAAAGGAAACAGCTGTTATATTCTCCACTACATGTTGGATGTTTTGTTGTTCGTTGCCAAATTGTTCCTTATGGTGCAGTATTTCAGCTTTACGACATGGCACTCAACACTTTAAGAGAACATGTGCTTTCCTGTTATGCTGCTGCTCGTGTTGATTATTTTCCTTTTGGGGTCAGAATGATAATTGATTGCTGCGATATTCTCATCTCTCAATTATTATTTTCCAGTTTGTGAAAACTTTCTCACTTTTCCCTGCTGCTGTGGCTCTCTTTCTATCTCTTCTTTCCAGCTGTTAGTTGCTGATGGACAGTGTCATGCACAGCGAGATCCAATCTGGGTTATTTTAGATCCTTTACAATAAGGACTATAAGTCAAGGGAAATCTTTGTCAGAGTTGTAATGAATTATATGATTCAGCCATTCCCTGTTGTGAGCAAAGTTTAGACAGTATCTAAAGAAGGCACTGAATAACTCTGCTTCTTACAGTTCTTTTCTTTTTTTTTTTTTTTTTTAATTGCCTTTTTGGACAAGATATTAAAGGTAGCTTTTAATCAGGAGAAGAAACTTTTGTGTTTCAAATTCATCCGTGCTCCTAAATTATCTGCACATCTTAGAAAATTTGAGGTAAGCGTTCAGAAGGAAAAAGAAGCAGTAGGAAACTTTGTCACTTTTTGTGCATTACCCCATTTCTTTCTGAATTGACATGCAAGATGTTTGAAGACTCTAGGAACAGTAATAATAATTAAAACAAACCCAAACTAGCTGCTGGTCTTCTGTTGTAATAGTTGGCCTTGTAAGGAATTCCTGTCTATCACTGCTCCTAAGACTTTGCTGGTTTGTGATCTCTAGTGTTGCAGGTAGGACTGGAAGAAACGCTGACTTTTTTCCTTTTTGGCCTCAATTTTAATTTTTCAATTTCCTGTGGCCATGTGCAACTCCAGAGGATTTAATGGGCATTGCATTTGCTTATGAATTATACAGCATGTTAAGCAGCTAGGTAGTTCAGCAGCATGGGATAACATCTGGATCAGCGTTGTGCTATATTGATATATTTCATATTGATTGTAAAGGACGTTTGTAGTGGACGTACCTGTAAAGTACTTCGACATTCATGTATGAAAAATGTTTTAAGAGTCTGGAATTATCATTTTCCAAATATCAGAAAGACTAGAAGTGTCTTCTTCCTATTGGTTAGAGTCGAGCTGATGTGGGAATATTTGCTGCCTGAGGTAAAATAATTGCTGGAGTTTAAGGTATATCTTACTTTTGCCTCATTGTGACATCTTTGGTCTTCTATCTTT